TCGTTAGAAGAGATCATTGCTAGGCTTATTGCGAGCCTAGATATAAGCCTTTATGCCACAATGAAGCCAGCATTTAAAAGCTTCCTAGAGAGCTTCGCCAAATGGCTTAAAAATAAAGTCAATCGCGAACAGGGCATCAACTTTACAATCCCAGACATTGAGTTCACACGGCGCGGTGTCAGAGAGGCATTGATTACTTTAGGCAAAACAGACTCCTCTCGGGGCCTAAAGTTCTGCGAGGAATTCCGCATCTTCTCAATTTCCCTGGACTGCGGAACACACGGCAGCCGTCATGGTCTATTCTCTTGTGTGTGCAATCCAGGCAAAACAGATCGCCACCAATTCTTCGACACAACAATTTCGACTAATTGGACATACGAGGACTACCATACGTGGTTTGATTCTCTTAAGGTTAATAAAAACCACGTAGCTGGAGTAGTCGGAGATGGTTTGCCAGCCCAGGTTAAAGGACTCTGCCACTGGAGGCCAGAAGGAGCCCTTTTCCCTGGCTTACAAACCGTGTACATTCGTTGCCTTAACCACGTATTGAACAATGCTATTGTCCACGCACGTAAGCAATGTCCATTGTTGAATGAACTGATGAATAGAGTTCACCAGATTATCATTATCTTTAAGAATCACGATATGAGAGCGAGATACAAGATCAGGGTTCCATCAATCCCGGAAACTCGCTGGCTCTACATATATGATACTCTGTTTTTCATCTTTGATAATCTGGAAACAATTAATACTGCTTTAAGAAGTGGAGATCTTCCACTATCCCTTTCCAGAGCTACACGTGAACAGTTACAATGGACACGTGATGGAATTCCTCCACTCTTTAAAGATGCTTTAATGATATTCAAGCCATTAAAGCAACTTCAATTATGGCTGAAATCCAACAAGTCCATGGGTGCTTATGCATTCCTGATGATACAACAGTGCCAAGGGATGTTGGATGAAATGGCAGGAAGATTAACGCCAGATGGTGAAGAGATTCTCCGATCAATCACTACAATATTCAAAAATGATATGAAAGAATATGGTAGAATTGATTTGCTTCGGTTTGCTTTCGGCTTTACACCGTTAGCAAGGAAGATCATCAGAGACAAGAAGGGTTTTGGAGGAAAGACAAGCTATCCACCTATAATGCAGTTGAAAGATGTGCAAGTCCCAACGATTCCTTCCCTGAGGATCATCAATCGCGAGATCACATTTGAGAAACTCGGCGAAATCCTTGAAGAAGAACGAACAGAACGTGTTGACGAGGTAGCCGAGCATGATGAAGAGATCCGGCAAGCAGAAGAGGAACAAATGCTTAACGACGATCATGCAGCCGAAACAAATGCCGATGGTTCGAGGAATTCCTTGGTCTGGGATGTTGTAGATGAAGAGATAAAAGATTTATACACATTCATGATAACAATCCTCAGACAAAGAGCAATTGCCGAATCAACAGTTGATCCAACGATCAATAAAGACGATAGAGCCAAGGAATTGATTGATGCTTACGATTTCTTCATAGAGCAAGATGATTCCCATCTTATAAATGGTCATCATCTTGCTCAAAATGATGGCAAGTTTTGGTACATGAATGACATAAAGCAACTAAAAGCAATAAGACCAATTGGAAAAAGGATGATGTCACTTTCGTGCAGTGAAGCAGATGTAGAACGTGTAATATCTGAATTGGAGAAAGGGACAGACTAGCCCATTGTCACTTTTTAATTTAGCAAATGAACGCTTATGGAGTGGAGTTTTTGGGTAAATCTGATTTGCTTATAAATGAAATAAAATCAAAAGAAACCATATTGGCATTATATTATGCAAAAATAAATGATCTTACTTAGTACTTTTAAAGTTAATTTCAGAAAAAATTTGACACAATGGTATCCGGCACATACAAGTGGTGTACAACCAAAATATAAGTTGGTTTAAACATATATTGCTATATCTCATGATCTTACTTAGTACTTTTAAAGTTAATTTCAGAAAAAATTTGACACAATGGTATCCGGCACATACAAGTGGTGTACAACCAAAATATAAGTTGGTTTAAACATATATTGCTATATCTCATGATCTTACTTAGTACTTTTAAAGTTAATTTCAGAAAAAATTTGACACAATGGTATCCGGCACATACAAGTGGTGTACAACCAAAATTTCATATCCCTAGTTTTACATTTATGTTTAGTTTTATTTCACCTAATTTTCAAAGATCATAATTGATTCCACTTATAAGCTCTTGCGCTCTCGCATACCATTTTATGCCGTCACTGGCAAATTCGCGGAATCAATTGTTTTTCCGTTTTTGTATAGGGTGTCCAAAGGTGCGTTTAGCACAGCGCTCTATATGAGACTATTAAAGGAGATATATGCTGATTATAAATATATAATAAAAAATATGAATATATGTATATGATGAGTATGTTGTATTTTGGCGCCATGCCGGGATATAAAATGAATTTTGAGACAAGAGGCGGTTTCGCGGGAAATTTTGGCGGGATTTTTTTCATTTTTTTAATGAATCATAAAGAAAACATCCTCGCTCTTGCAAAAAAATGCAAAGACTGTAAAAAAATCTACGAGACATTGGTAAAATGCTTCGGTATGGATGCTCCTAGCTATTCCACTGTAACGTATCATGTTAGGATGTATCACTTCATGAACAAAAAGGCGCCCATCATAAAAATTGACAAAAAATCGCCGGATCAAAGAAAAATCAAAGCAATTCTTCAAGCGCTAGATGAAGACCCAAGAGCATCACTCAGAAGGATAGAGGAGATGACAAAGATACCACGTACAACAGTCAGTTATTATCTGCACAATTATTTGAACTACAAACTAGTATACACGTTGGGTTCCGCACAACCTTAATTCAGTTCAAAAAAAATCTAGAGTCCAATCTTCGAAAGAGCTCCTCTCTATATTGGGTGCGTATCAATCCAAGAAGTTTCGCTTTTTAGTAACAGGGGACGAGTCTTGGTTTCAATATGCAACAGAAGCCAAAATCATGTGGATCCCGAAGGATGAAAATCCGCAAACATTCCCGAAGAAAAAAATTGACACACCAATGATGATGTTGTCGGTTTTTTGGGGCGTGAATGGCATCATCGCAATTGATATTCTTCAAAAACCTAATACGATGAATGCTCAGTATCTAATTGACAATGTTCTTACTCAAATTATCAATTCTGATGAGTTTGAGAAATCCAAACAACAAAAACAAAAGTTTGCAATTCATTTTGATAATTCAAGAGTTCACAAAAGTCATAAGGTAATGAATTACTTGGTGGAAAACAATGTCAAAGTTGTTCCAAACCCAATTTATTCACCTGATATTGCACCCTCTGACTTTTATTTATTCGGCACGCTAAAAAAGAGATGAGAAGGACGCGAATTCGCGAGTCCAGATGATCTTGAAAATTTTGTAAGAGAGCAATTTGAGCAATTTTCTCATGATGATTTAAAGCGTGTCTTTCAAGCCTGGATCGATCGCTGCGAACGCGTGATTGAATCCAATGGTGATTATATTTAAATAAACTTTATATATATGTAACTTGTTTATTTCTATTCGCAGTATTCAGGTTTGTGCTAAACACACCTTTGGACACCCTATATTTTTTCGTTTGGCCCGACACAAGTGAAAATATACAAGTTTGTCTCACAGCATATTTTGGCTCCATCAATCGCGAACCATCTTATTTTTCAATGGACTGCGCACCTCAAATCACAAATGCTGTTGAAACAGCCATCCCCTTATGCCAGATCATTTGGTGTGGCGTTCATGTGTTGCGCGCTGTCATGAGAAAGGCTGAAAAGTTTCAAGATCGTTCCAACTTCGAAACTTTCTATAACTTAATGAAGTTATTGGTCTTTGGTTCTGAAGAGGAAGAAATTGATCCTGATGAAGTTAACAACAATTTAGAAGAAATTTTAAATGAGGAACCTGCTGCCCGTGAATACTTTGACCAACAGTGGCGCCATCATCTTGACAGGTGGATGCTTCGCTATATAAATGAAGGAGATGAAACAAACAACATCTCGGAAGTTAGTATGGCTAAGTCGTGTACGGAGACACTGCGAGCCTCCTTACCCATTATATGTGAATTTGACACTTTACAAAACCGTTAACGTATATTTTACAACACAAACGACAACACCAACTTAACCTTAAATATTTACAAAGCCGCCAACCACTTCACTAACGAACTCACTAATGTAAAAATAAACGTTCTCACTTACGAAAGTATTGCAACTCCTCCCATTGCTGTGCTTCATATAACAGCTCATAATCTTCTGACTCACTTTCTTCTTCATATAGGTCAAAATCACTGTCATAGTTTATACCTGTAAGTTTTGACAAAGCTAATGAAACACGTTTACCGTTTGTATCGTATGCTTGTATAAACTTTCCATTCTTCATTCCTTCATAAACGCTCAAACTAACTTTACCCTTTCTCCCTCGTATCTGATAGAATGTATTTTCACGAGGAACGAAGAACAAATTCTTGAACTCATGACCGTTGTAGTTTGTTATCTCAATAGTTTTCGTCATTTACATCCAAATAAAAATTTTCAGTAAAATAAAAAAATAAATGATATCACCACTCCCACACGTATGAAAACATAGCGCAAAAATAAATTTAGGTGAAGCGGTGAGATCTCACCTCTTTTTTCACCTGTTTTTTCACCCTGTTGAATTCATTGTTTTATAACTCTCTTCCTTTCTCCAACTCTTCTAACTTCTTCCTAAGTTCAGCAATGTTGTCCTCATGAAGTTTAATCTTTCTCAAAATTCCTTCTTTATCTAATGGTTGCTTTATCTTTCTAAACTGAACTCTACCATCCTTCATAGTATGAATGTAAAAACCTTCCGGAATAGTTCCTGATTTAATGTATTCTACCAAAAACTTTTGTTTCATTGCTTCAGTGACTTTATTTGTCATTTCAATCAAATAAAAATTTTAATATTAAATAAAAATAACGTTATTTTTTCAGTAAGGAAACGCAGGAGTTTTACGATTTATTTGAGGAGTAGGTTCTGGTTTAAATGTTGGAGTCGGTTTAGGAGTTGACTTTTGAACAGGAGTTTGTACTTCCATAGGTTCAGGAGTCATTGAAGGTTTTGCTTGTGAAGGCGTTGGAGTTTGTTTAACTTCAGCTACTTCAGTATTATTTACAACATTTGCTTTATTTCTTTTCAACATCATAACTGCTCCTGCTGTAGCTAGCAAACCTAGTGGGAGACCATATCTTATATAAGGACTTGACCAAATGCTATTTTTGACAGGAGCTGGTGGAACACCTAACCTTGGTGAAACTGCTCTTTGCCATTGTGCAGCTCGTAAGAAATATTCAATAGGTGCTCCATAATCGTTTGGTAAAGTTTGTTTCATAGATGGTGAAGGTTCACGAGAGCTTGATGAAGAACTCATTTATAAGCTTTAAAAATAAACGTTCATCCTTTATTCCTCACTGTCGTCGTAGCTAAGTTATAGTCATCTAATCTTATTATTGGGATGCCATTAGCACGCACCTGAATGGCAAAGCAACAATCCCTCATAAATCCAATAAGTGGCTTTGGTACATTTTCAGTTGCTAGTTCAATAGGTCCTTTAACAGACAATTTGTATGTTATTGGAGCAGTAGATGTTTGACCTTGCTGGAAGCAAAAGTCCACTTCTGTTGGAAAACCACATAAGAAATGTGTGTTGTCATAACTATCCCATTTATGTTCCACACTACCATCATCCACCAATGACCTCATAACATCTTCATTAAATCCTATCATATCATTGTTTGTATTGCAAGCGTTCGCAACCATTTCATAAAATACAGGTCCATATGATTTTTCAGGTTCTGCAGGCATATTTCCATAAGCTCCCATGGAAAGCTGAAGATATTTAAACTTAGGGTTCTCAAAATTAACATAATAGTTGTCTTTCTTTCTAAATAGTGCCCAAATACTTTTAACATTAATAGGCGTATAAGCTGCTGTAAATGTTGCACTTGAACTATCTGTATTCTTTGAGAATGAACCGTCCATAGGAATCCAATCCATAACTTTAACAGGAAAACATAAAGCCTCGTTTGTATAATGTTCTACAAGTTCTGTATAAATGTTAGGGTCTAAAAAAATGACTTTGGATGAATGAAACATTCATTAAAATCCATCTTTGTTCGAAATAGTTGTTGGGTTACAGTTGTAATAGTAACTGTTCCACTAGCTTCTACTGCCTTCGTTATCATAGTGAATGGTTCATTCCATGGAACAAATTTATTTGTCGGTGGATTTGAATCTGAAGCAAATGCAACTTTAAGAGTTGGATTGAAAGCAATGATATCATTTACAGATATAGATGTGCATTGTAAGGCGTCGCTACTGAACTTTACTTTAAGCTGAATGTTTCCTGCAAAAGCTGGAATAAATCGAATAGCTTCTAATGGAAGGAATCTTCTAACAGGAATTCTTAAACGAAGCTTAAAATCAAATGATTTTCCTGCTGTAATTGGACCACTAACAATTTGTCCTGTTCTGCATGTTCCCGAATGACTCCATACATCTTCATGTCGAGTCTTTGAGAAAACATCTACTTTCTTTATTTGTTCGGTAGTTTGTGAGTTTGAAGTTATATATGCTTCTTCTCTTGCGTTGTCTTGAGAATATACGATACGACCATTTGCAAGGATTTGATATCCAGCAACTGCATAGAAAGCGTCATCGAAACCAATCCAAAATCCTGGTGGGTTTGTTTTATTGGAACCTGAACCAATTTCTTTATCTACAATAAATTGACCTTCCATTTTATACGTAATGAATGTATTGTAAAGGTCCAACATATTTTCACCAGGAGGTGAGAGATTGAATGTTACCCATGTGTTATCTTTAGCAGTTCCAGGTTGTGATGGAATCTTTGCGTCAGAATATTTTCTATTAGTGTCACCAATTTGAACTGCATTGTCTATGATATTGAAATATGAGCGAATCTGATGAATATGCTCTGCTGGAGTAAATTCGTTTAACTGTTCGTTCTGCATGTATTTACTTCGGATAAAAATATCTATTTACTTCATTATTCTCACTCTTCTTCTTGGCATTCGTGGTGGAAGTTGTTTCTTGACATTTTCAATGAACTGTACATTCTCTTTTGTCTCAACTTCTTTCACTGGCGGGTCAGGGTTCTTTGACTCGGTTTGTTTTTCAATGAAATTCACAAACTTTGCAATAAGCTCTTGGTTCGTTATTGAAAGTACATCTGGCTTCTTTTCTTCTTGTTCTATTGACTTTTCAGTTTGAACAGAAGGTTTTATATGGGCTTCGTGGACTTCACCCTTGCCATACACCTTAATGTTGTCGCTTTCTGCATTCGCTAATGGAACCTTTCTTTTTCTTACGTATATTTTACCATCTTTACTCTGACTTACGTAATAGAAAGGATGTTGTATTCCTCTTGCGTCATTTAATATAATAGACTCTCGTTCTGATTTTGACAAGCTCATTTTACATCGGTTAAAGTTTTAATTTTGTTTTTTATCTGCAGTCAAATGACTCAGACAAGCCCTACGGACAAGACCCAAGGGGTCATAGATGTTGAAGCATTGAAGAAAGAAATTCGCGAGCAAATTTTATCCGAACTGAAGGAACAAAAACAAGAACAAAAGCCAGAGAGACCAAAGAGAAAACTTAGTGAAAAACAACTTGCTGCATTAGCTGCTGGAAGACAAAAGAACCCACGTTTGCTGGCGAAGAAAGCTAGAGAAGAAGCTGAAGCAAAAGCTAAAGAAGCTGAAGCAAAGAAAGAGTAAATGGTTTATTTTTATCCGAATTAAATGTATAGACAAATACCTTTAACTGTTGCGTTCAGTAGTGAAAACCCTGACGTCAAAATAAAGGGGAACAGAGTAACGTTTAAGTTTCCAACAGACTGGATTGTGAACATAAATGAAGAGAAGTACATTGGCATAACATCTATGTATATAACACGTGCTTTCAGAAAGGTTGACTTTATACTTCAAGTCGAGATAGAAAATGACGAACAGTCTTTAAGCGCCCAAAACATTCACATATACAAATACTTTAAAGACGATACAACATTGTTGCAATGTATGATTTCATTTAATGAGATGTTCGAGAAAAAGTTCAACATTGAAGTACAAACTTTACAGCCTTTACGTGAGTTTCTTGCACAACTGAAGGAAGAAGGTAGTCGGCCACAACTTATAGACTTTCATTATGAATTTAATGAAAATGAAGATGGAACTCATGACTGTCAATTCATTGTATTCTCACCATTCAATGAAGTAGCTAAAAAGAAAAAAAATCCATTACGTATAAGATTTCAAATCTCTGAACCAAATGATGACTTCAAAAATGTTTTCAATTATTATGCAATGCTTCCGAGGAAAAATGAATTTTCAAAGATTGTAACACCTGGCATTTGGGATAGAAAGCAAGCTATATTATATTCAAACTTAAGTAAGGGAGTTGAAAATGAGTTCATTGGTCATACAAGAACTTCACCACTTCCTAACCCTAAGTATTACAAGCTTACTGGCTTCAATCGTGAGTTTTGGATAGACATGTTCTCCACTCATGACCATAAAGCACCTGTTTTGCTACCTCCAGACCATAAGGACTGTCTCTACATTGAAGCACAACTCTTAAATTCTACCATCGCAGTATTGTAAATGACCTCATGGGCTTCGCCCTTGCCGCTAGCGGTTTATTTTTATCACGAATGACCTCATTGCTGACAAAAATAAATGACCTCAGAACTTAAGCTTTCTTATGAATGAAGTCTTAGTCTGAATAGAAAAGTTAAACTTTTCAGCAAAGCAAGGACTAGAAGACTTACATAAGTCAAATCCAATCTCTTGACCATCATGAAGTGCTTTGTAAAGTTTCATTAAACTGAACTCAGAGTCTTTGTCATATGTTCCAACAGGTATGTGAATGTTCTTATCTTCATTGTAATAGCATTGTATAGCTTCAGGAAACATTTCATTAGCTGTTAAAGCAAGAACGTCTTGTTTTACACCTTTACAACGTGCATGAAATGCAACTTCATTTAAATCATTCGTGAGTAAGTCTATGTAAGTCTTCTTTCCACAAAATATTGACTTGTATGCTAAACTTTGTTTATCTTTTGTGATTTCTGCAAAGTCAGAATGGAACTGACCTAATGTTTTACCAATAAGTTCGCGACCGTATCTCTTCTTAAACTCTGCTGCAAGCTTTGGAATGTCTTCATTGAAAATATGCATGCTATCACAGTCCTGGTAAAATATTTGAAGACCCATGTCCTCAGCAGTACAGAATACTTCACACATTATTCTCTTCGACATTGATAGAATATTTACACCAAGTGGGCAAAAGTTAAAGTGTCTGCAAATACTTTTCGTTAGCTTGAAAATAGTTTTATCTGAACCATCCAAACCTTCGAACTTCACTATATGGTTGTAGTTTCTGATGGCATATCTTATAGCATCTTTGTCATTTACTATGGTTATTTTTGACTCAATAGGAGATAGAATAGTTTTGCCATAAATACTGTTCAGAATGAGCTTTATATTTTCTTGCAAAGGATTTCCTTCTTTCTTATACTTTAACCTTAACTCAAACAACTTCTTTACTTCATCTCTTATTCTAATATCTCTGTTTCCATCGTAATAGTATCCTTGCAACACTTCACATTTGACACCTTGATATTTTATGAGGTCTTGTAATGTTATATGGTCAACATACATTAAACAGCAAGTGTTTGAACTTCTGGGAACATTAAGTTCTGGATTTAGTTCAGGGTCACAAACTATTAAAGGAAAGTGTCTATGTATTCCAATCTCTGTTATCTTAATGAGAACAAAGAAGCCAGACATAAACTTTTCACCAATGGGTTCCTTTTGGTCGTCATCAAATAAATGTCTCATGAGATACTCTGTGCTTAACATCTCATCCTTCAATACTTTTGGAATTCCTTCTAAAGTATAAAGTCTTGCTATAGCTGATGGATATAATGAAACAGCGTCGAAATCAGCAATGAGTTTCTTTTCGCTCTTTTGTTTAATGTTATCTGACAACATACATCTTCCACCTTGAATACAGCGTGAAATAAATTCTCTTGGTTTATTTGAGAGGTCATATAAATTTCCATTCGGGAAGTACACTCTGTTCTCAAACAATTTGTTAGCAATAGAACAAATACTAACGTAGTCATATACGTTTAAATCAAATTCTTTCAATATGTCATTGCGGAACTTAACAAAACCTTCTCTTAAAATTCTTACATCTTGTTTGCAATAAAATGTGCTATATTTTTCTAAATCGAAATGGTTTTCATCTATTCTGCAACCTTTGATGGAATCTATGTTTTTCATGAATGTATCTGCATCCCGGAAAGCTTACATGCTTCAGAAATGACACCAGTTCTGTTGTCATTTGCTAACAAAACACTGCTGTAGTAGTTATATGGAAATACTTCTTTCGGTCCTGTTTGTAAGTTAAACATAGCAGGAAATAGTTTAAGCTTCTTATTTATAACACTGTAAGAGTCTTTTATAATAATTCCCTTCCTTTATATAAGCCAGTTATTTGCATTGTTCGTGAACCTTTAATGATGGGAGTTCCTTTCACTTCTGTCATGTGTCTTAAGATGAAGTTTATATCATAACTGAGGTTATGGAAATATATTAAACTCTTGTCAGGAAGTCGTTCCAAAAATTCTGTTGCACAGTTCTGACCCCAAATGCTTTCACTCACTGAACCATCTTCATTGTCGTAACATATGTTAAAAAGCTTTATGAAAGCCATCGGTACTACACTCAAAGTCAGCAAAGAAAACATGCTCAGGAATGAACTTGCACTTATTTTTATTTACTTCTTTTGACTCTGCTTTCTTCTTCAGTTGTACACAATACTTTGGAGCATATGTCAAATCTTTAAATGGTGCAAGGTTCTGTTTATATAAGTCAGTCGTATATGTGAAAAGTTCTCCATAAGAAATAGGTTCGAAATATTTGCACTCCACAATGTTTTCATAACATTCCATAACGGTGTTGTTCTATCATAACGAACTACATATTTGTTCTCTCTCTTTGTATATATTTTCATCTGTTTCTCAATGTTCATTCCACCACAAGCTTTGAGAATTTCTATATAGTTGCGAATGAAATATGTTGTCATTGGTAATCTTTCGTTTAGCATGTAGTGGTCTTCAACAAGAAGTAAGTCAATAGTTCGAACAGTTTCACATTCTTTTGGTATGTATCTCTTTATTTCATTATGTCTTGAGTCATTGAAGTAACCAATGGTAACATTAAATGCTATACCTGTTGCGTCAGAAATTTCTTGTACTTTACTTTGAGGAAAGTCTCTAACACGAATGACTTCTCTCATGTGGTCAATAGTCTCTCCATCTACTCCAGCCTGAATGCAAGCATAAACGAAACAATTGTCTTCTGTCATAAGTGTTGCAGTTCTTTTGTTCAGTTCATTGAAGATTTGGTAGCGTTCAAGATTTATAGGTAATGTGCAAAGATACTTCCAGAACTGACCGCTTCTCTTCTTATAAAACTTCTTTTCACCATTATCTTTCCAAAAGCTTTCTATAAGTGCTGGGTTTCCTGTTTGCTTAAGAGCTTCCAAAATGGCTTTCTGGTCATTTGTCAGTGTGCTTTCATCTCTATATGGTCTCTTTTTTGGTTTGCCTTTCTTTACATCTGACATCGTTAAGCCTTCATATTCTGTTAAATCATACATCTTTATTTCGGTAAGATTCTTTATGTTTGTCAAGAAGAAGTCATAGTGCATTTCAACAATACCTGCAGCATTTGCTTCTATCTCTGATATAAAGTTCTCCTTCAAGAGCTGATGTAGTAATGTTCCAATATTATTGAGGTTTAACGTAGAACATTCATACTTTCCACCAAGTTTATAACATACCATCCATCTCTGTTGTGAGTTTATTTTAATCTTCTCTAAGAGTCTCATGAAAACCTTACCGAAATGTTTGTGTAAGTAGTCTCTGTTTGGTTCATCTAAAGCTTCGATGTTAAAGTCAATGAGTCTATTGCCTGACTTCACATTTCTCTTCCTATTCTCTTCATCTTTCTTTAACCATCTCTCACCTTCTTTTGGTTTGTCGTCAATGGAACGAATGACATCGTTAGCTTTGCGAACTTGTTCTATAGCACTTTTAAACATCTCTCTTCTCTGTTGTTTCAGTGTGTCGTCTCTTCTTCTTGTTTCACCAACGTTCGCATTTGTTATGTCAAACATTTCTTGACGAACATCATGTGAAAGAGCTTTACGAGTATGACCAACGTTCGCATTTGTTATGTCAAACATTTTCTTCTTTACTTCATGAGGTATTGAACGTCTATGATATAAGTCAATAGCAACGTCATTTAAAGGAAAAGTTTTGTTATTAATGTAATCATGAATTCTATCATAACTTATTGCACCATTATAGTCTTTAATGAAGTCAGCGAGTGCTTTTTTGTTTGTTGCGTAATGCTTTGCAACATCTATATTAGCTTCTGTAAGAAGTTGTTTTATTTCCGAGTGTTCTAACTTAGACAACTTCCGATACATCTTTAGTAGGAAATAAAAAAAATATTTTTGAAAAAATTAGATTAGATTTTTTTTAAGTTATTTTTCAAAATAATTTAATATTTTTATTATAATGAAACACATGCAAGATTGCAAGTTCTTTTCATACAATGCTCTCGCTAATGCCATCAAGAATGAGTTCAATAATGCTTCAAACGTTAATGTTATCTTTAACAAGAAGTTTGTGAAAGAATCTAAGTTTGGTCAGTATGTCAGACCATTAGCTATCGTCATTGACCGCAAACGTTATACTTCACAAGAGTTAGCAGTAGTTTTGAAACAAAAGAGTTTCTTCGTGAATGTCAAAGATACTCATTATACTGTCATAAAGAACTCTAACATTGACTTCTTCAGTATTGCTATGAATCTTTCCGAACAGAAAGAATATAAGAAGGGTGAAACAAATGTGAAATATTATCCTTCATCTCTGAAGACAATAACGAACAAAGATGTTATACAGAAATTCTTACCAAAGGTTGAAGAAGCTTCAATTGACATTGACGAAGGAAGTGAAATGGTTGAAGAAATTGACCCTGAAGCTATTTAAGCAAAAATATATTTTTGGTTAGTCTTCATATGGATATTTTACAACAATTCCCCAATGTATAAACTTTTCATACGCTTTTTCATAAGCTTTATATACCTTCAGAAATTTTGCATAATCTTTAGAAGCATTTAGATATTGTTTAAATGCTTTGTATGTCTTCATAAATTTTGCATAATCTTTTACATGCTGTTCGTTCTCCTCTTCTGTCATGAGTTCCGAATATTCTAAATTCATGTTCTTTCATATGAGATAAAATTTTATAAAAAAAAATAAAATTAGCTTAGATTTTCATTCTTCCTCTTTGAAGTTATCGAAATACTCTGTTATTTTTTCCTTTAACAATGGTAAGTCTTCTTTGAATGTAAGTATTTGCAACCTTTGATGTCATAGTGTGTTTGAGGAAGAGTATTTTTGACAATTTCCTTTATTTGCTCATTCGGTGTCATTGAAATCGGTAAGTTTTCACGATAGAACCAGTTTCTGTCAGATTTGTAAATCTTAGCAAGGTCATAAAAGCTTTTGTTGTTTCTTCTGACTAAATGCAACATAACCATATCTCTGTCTTCTTCATTTTCCATCTCTTCAGTATAATCATATACTTATAGTTCTTTTCCTTTCCTTTTGGTACTGAACGCGGTATTCTTTTCTGTATGCTTTTGTCTTTGGATTCAATGACTTCATCTTTTGCTTGAAGTTTCTTTTCCATCTGTTCGCGTTCTGCTTTATATAGTTCATCTAACATCATGAAAATATAACAAGCATAACGAGGTGAAGCCCACATTGCAACAGCATTTACTAAAAGTCTATGAACATAATAACCTTTCAAACCAGGTGCCAAATTCTTGCGATTTTCGTACGGAATCTCTTCCCTCGGTTTTCCGAGGGTAGCAAACATATGAGGAAATTCTTCTAAAAGTTCTTTTGTCTGTTGGTTTTCAAACCAATGATATGCTTGCTTTGTAGAACGAAGAGCATTCATTATACTTTGCATTTGGTACATATCGTCTTTGACTGAACGAATGAGACGGAGTTGTTTGTTATACTGTATGTACTCATATTCTTCATTTATGGCTTCATGAACGATAGCAGTTGTTGTGTTCTCTAATGTTGTCATTACTGTCTTTACATACAAAATAAAAAAATAAATAAAAATAAAATTAGCGTTATTTTTTCTGAGATAAACACTATTTCTTCACAACATTAAATTTTATCCTGTATGAAATGACTTTAAAAAGATTATTGACTGACTTCGAATACTATCTCATTGACGCACTGACAGACCCTCAAAACTGTGTTGAAAGTTCTTTAAGCTTTAAGATTGAAGGTACGACGCATTTTGTCTTCACTTACGTATTGAAAGAATATGACCGTTATCATAACGAAGTGAATCAAACACTAATAAAATTTGTAGATAAAAAATTGGTTAACAATGAATATTTTAAACGTGAAGACCCAAACACTGCTGGAGATGATGAAGAATACAGACAAGCTATTGAAAAAAATAACGCAAGATTAGATGCAATAGAAAAGAATTTTAATGAATGTCTTACAAACACGTATGAATATCTTATGCGGTGGGAAGCTAGATGGAAATAAATTTACGTCAAATATGCAATTTATAAAATCTTATGTCGACAGGCTACGTAGCACAGTGGTCTAAGGTGGTGTTATGGAGGGGTCAAGAGTCTGTGGTTCGAACCGCGACAGCGCCGTATTTTCTTATTTTCTTTGTTTGTCTTGTTTGTCGTGAATAAAAAGTGTCATAAAAGTGCTCTATTTCCACGGGAATAAATAAAAAATTTACTTTATTTCTTCTTTATTTCTTCTTTATTTCTTTGTTCCCGTGGAAGAAGGGTTTTGCTGTTTTTTCTCAGCCGAAATCAATGATTTTTTCATTTTTGGAATCCTTAGCGAATGAGGAATCTTTTCTCTCGTGGAAGCTTTGAACAAAAATATAATTTAGGTGAAGAGGTGAGATCTCACCTAATTTTTCACCTAATTTTTCACCCCTTGAACTTTTTATAACATTCGGTCATAACTTCATCAATTTCATTTAAATCACGATTTAAAAACTCATTGACTTCATCTTCAACCGTGTCATCTTGTAATAAGAATATTTTCTTTAGTTTCATGTCAACATCCCGAACAGCACAAAGGATAAAATCATATTCATTTCTTCCGTTAAACATACTTTTTCTTTCTCGTTCATCGTTAAATAAATTATTGAAAATATAAACAGCGGTGTAAAAGTTATGTACTGTGTTAAATGTTGAAGCTTCACCTATTTTAGATTTTAGGATTCTTTTAGTAAGTAAATTGTTATCGTTCTTTCTCTTTTCCTTATCGTTCATGTCGAATCTGTCGAACCACATATCCTGTATTTCATCGAATTTACGAACTATAGAATCCGTCATTTCCCTGGTTAATGAGGGGTAATCATTATTAATTTTTTCATATAATTTGTCCATATGATTTTCATCGACGTTTCCGGAAAGCATTTAATTAAAGCAAAAATAATGTTTAGGTGAAGAGGTGAGATCTCACCTCTTTTTTCACCCCAGTTTTTTCACAAGCGTTTTACATGAATTGTACGATGTATATTTGAAATCCTAAACAATTTCGTAGCTTCTATTTCTTCTGTCAGTATGTCAAAAGTTTTAACAATACCGAAGGTTCTTTATACTTCTTCTTGACGTCAGATAGAAGGAAATCTTCTGCTGTTGGATAGTTTTTGTTCAGAAATTCTAACATGTTCATTTTATCTTCTGCTGGCTTTTCTGCTTCTTTCTTTAAGTCTGCATAGTCGTTTCTCATTCTTTCTATCTCTTTGACTGAGTAGTTATATTTCCTAATTGCTGCCTTACATTTTGAACATTGCGGGTTCATTTTGCGTTATACATTGAAATAAAACCAGCTAAAACAACTAAGGCGTCAATGGTTTTCTTCATCTCAAACATAGCGGGTCTTATTTGTTCGTTCCATACTTTGCCTCTTCTATCTTTATCTCTTATTTCCCAAACACATTTTGCAACTAATGAAACAAAGTTATCGTAAGTCTTAAATTCTTCAGATTTATATATGTCAGAAACATTCTTATATACCATGTCGCAATCTTTGTCCATAACCTTATGGTTGCAATGAAAACCAAGGAATTCATAATTTACTTTACGTATGAACTTCTTTATTTCTACTGAGTCAGTTGGTTTCACTTCAATTTCGTCGAATTCAGGAATAGTGAGTTTTTGTTGTTGGATTTCAGGCAATTTGGGTAAATGGTCAATAATGTCCTGCATTTCATAAAGATATTCTTCATTTGTTTCATCTTTCGCACTACAGTCTAAAGTACTTGTTAAAAGTTCTTGCTTTATCTTCTGGATTTCTGTTTCAAAAGTATATGAAGAAGGAATGAAGTTTTTCATCTCTACTAACATTGACGTAGGATTCATGACTAACGAGTTTGGTGCTGTTGTTGTGGACAGAGTCCCGCCGTTCGCGGCTTGAATTGTTGTTGTGCCGATTGTTGAAATCATATCTTTTATACAAAATAAAAAAATAAAAAAAATAAAACTAACTTTATTTTTTCTATCTTAAGGAAATTCATGAAAATTCACGAGGGTGAAAAAACAGGTGAGATCTCACCTCTTCACCTAAACATTATATTTTTTGGTGAATTCAATAAAAATAAATGGTTCATTTACTCACAATATTTTTGTACAAAACGACCCCAAACTTTTAACTTCTTTTCTGCAGCTTCAAATGCTATCTTAGCGAGTTCATATTCTCTAAATTCTCTCTTTAAATCTTCTTGTTCCCATTGGTCTAGTTCGTATGGAGAATCTCTATAACCATAATATATCTCACGTTCATGTTCTAATTGTTTTTCACACATTTTTCCAACTTCTTCTTCGAACAAAGGTTTAGCATTCTCCACTGTATCTTCGAGTTCTTCTTCATCTAACTTCTCATGAACTTTCTTGTCTATGGAGTCCATAATATCTTTGACATAAAATGCATACTTTACAGAGCACCATTCAGCAACAAAATGAACGAGGTCAGCATGTATGTAAATACCTTTGAATTCATTCATAACGCCCTTAGTAAGCTCATAAAATGCTTGTTTTGAGGTTGAGCCACTTTTGGCTCGACCGTATTCTTTCAACCAAAACTCAAGAATTTCCTGCATTTTAGCACTATTGAGAAATCTGTTTAAATGGTTTAACTTTCCTGCTTCTCTCGCCATCTTTGTTGCATTAATGTAACCATCCTTGTCTCTACGTAAGACTTCAATACCGTTATAAGTGCCTTTTGTGAATGTTTCACCATTAGATTTGTTCGTGAATGTTTTTGCTTCGACTGACATTATTGTCTTTACATACAAAATAAAAAAATAAAAAAAAATAAAACTAACTTTATTTTTTATTTCGGGAAAATTCAT